TTTTTGTTTTCTTCTTTTTTAGGAAAGTTTGTTTTTATTGATGAAAAAGTAAGGTCTAAAAGAAGAAGAAGAAGAAGAAGAAGAGAGATTTTTGTTAAATTTAAGATGTAAACGAGTTAAAGATTTTCGTTTTTATACTGCGTGACGATATAACGACAGTTTAAAACTATTGCATTAATCCACGTCATATTCAATCTCAGCAGTTTTCTTCACCCTATTGTTTCAAAACTTATTCTCTTGTGTGTGCCATGGTTTTGTGGGAGATCATTTCTGTCTGCAATTTTATGGATATTGGTTTCCAATACCGACAAATTGAATCTAAATTTTAACCTTCTATCTTTCAACTTTTTTACTTGTGTATAGAGAAAAAGAATCTCTTAACATTGTGTAGATATGAATTCTCGATATATATATGAAAATTCAATTTAAATATTTTTCAAACTATTTCTGTAAATTGTTTCCAATATTTTATTCTGTTTTCTTACATTCTTGTATTATATAATGAGAAATTATTGTAAGTACATAATATGAATTAAATTTAAAATATTTTTCATTAAAATAAAAAATTTTGATTTAAAATAAATAATAATGAAAAATAATATTTCAAACTAAAACATTTTAATCTAAAAAATTCTAATTTCAATTAGAACTATTTAATTTTCTCATCTCTAAATCTGAATCAGTTAAAATTTTAAATGATTTAAATCAGTGACTACTTAACTGTTTGCTTTCAAATCATTTAATATATTGATTTACTAGTAAATTTAGTGATGCAAAGTATATTTTAATTGATTTGAAAAGCAGGAAGTCATTTGCTGATTTACATAAGAATATTGGAACTGATTCAGATTTAGAGAGTAATATATTTTATTAAATTTAAATTGTATTTAAAATATTTAAATTTAAAGTATTTCAGTTAATTTAAAATATTTATAATTTAAAATATTTAAATTCTAGGAATTCTAATTTTTCTTGACATTAAAGATCTATAAGATTGCTGGAAATGATTGCTGAAAATTTACTACGCAACGTTTCTGCAAGCTTGCCAGAAATATTGCTACAAACTTACAACAACAGTTTGCTGAATGATTGCTTAAAATTTGTTGCAATCTTGCAGCAAACTTGCTGCTATTTTTCAAAAATACTTCTTAAATAAAACAAAATTTTACTTTTAGTTTTTTATTTTTTAACTTTCAAGATGTTTCTGACGTTTATATTTATTATTTATAGTTATACCTTTCTTGTTGAATTTTGGAACTTAGCATTGATGACAAATTTTTAAAAACACTGTTTCAAGTTCAGATGAGCAAGATATCTTTTTCTTCTTTGATAGTTGGTTGTTTTGCTGTACCTGGGTTCTATTCCTAGTCTCCTTGAATTTATTTTTAAAAAAATGTCTTATCAACGATATGTTCCAAATATAACAAGTAAGACATAATTTAACAAAAATGAATGTTAGAAAAATCTTAAAATTAAAAAAAAATGAAAAACAACATACAACTTTCTTTAATTTGAAAAATATTTATGAAATATTATAGCAAGTTTGCTACAAGCTTGTAATAACCTTGCAAAAAATTTGTAGCAATCATTCAGTAATTTGTCACAATAAGCTTGCTAAAAGATTACGTGTCATTTCTGGTGAAATATTAATAATTTTCATTTGGAGAGTAAAGTCTTTTTCTACTGCGTTTTGTTATCTAATTACTTTTGTTTATTAAAATTTACTTTTGTTTTTTAATTAAATTAAATTTAAATAAAGTAAATTTCTCCAGTAACTAAAAAATTACTTACTTATATAGAGATAATAATTGAAAATATGTTTTCATTTTTAATATGATGAGAGTGGTTTTTTATTCAAATTGGTATTTGATTTTTAAAAAAGAATAATAAATTATAGCTTTTAAGGATGAAACGTAATAGCAAAACAAAGAAGATACATAAAATTTGTATATATATTTATAAACATCCTTGAATACAATTTGGTCTGAGATTTGCGTGGGATCAGTTATAAATCGGGCATCCTTTTCTCTGCATGAGATTGCAAATATTTTACATACCTTTTCAGGATAAGAAACTCACAGTCTCAAAATTAGTTTCTATTTTTTCTTTTTTCAATTTAAAACAATAATAACTATTATAATGAACAATGAAAAATATAACAATAACAAAAAAATAGTTCAAATAATAATTTTTCTAATTAAATAAATATTTATATGCAATTTAATTTTTTTAACAGGTAAACTGTTTGGCGTTTAACTAAATTTTATTAAAAATTAATAGATTTTCTTTATTTATACTTTAAAATTTATTAGTATTTATGAAAATTAGTATTTTTTTTATTAAAACCGTTTTTTAAATTATTTTGTAATAAAAAAGCCTAAATACCATATTTTGACATTTTGTAACAAAATTTATTAAATTAAATTTTATTACATTCATATTTTTTGTTGAAACAGTTTTTTGTAATAAAATGGCCTAAATACCGTAACATTTGCATTTATTATAAAATACCGAGTTTAAGTCATTTTATTAAAAAATATTAAATTAAATTAATATTTGCTTTTTATTAAAATATTTTTTTGTATTTATTTTGTAATAAAAAGAACTAAATAGGTACATTAAAACTTGCATTTACAGTTGATTCAATGAATTGATAGAAATAAATATTTATTAATTAAGAAATAAGCGATTATTTGAAAAAAGATTATTTTTGAATCATTTTTATTTTATTTTTGTATTTTTTTTATTTTAGAAAAGAAAATTGTCATAGTAAAGATTCCTTTTTTCGCAGAAAAAAATTTCATGTTTTCAGTTTGCTGAGACTTTATAGCTGTTTTGTCTTAGTATTTTTACTTTTTTTCTGCATATGGGCAATTCTACGTGAGATTTCAGTCGACCTCTTAAAATCGGCCAAAAATATTTTTTTTCTATTCTGTATTGAAAAAAAACAGATACGTATTTTTTTATTATTTTTTTGGAGGCCAAATTTTTGAGTTATGAATTTTCAAAATTTTCGCTTTTTAAATGTAGCTATATTTTTAATGTCAGATAACTCAAAAAATATTGCTTCTTTTCATTTTTTGACAAGAGAAAAAAATTTTGTTTTTCTTTCTACTTTTGAATAATCATAACAAAAAAATTTTTTTTTCATTTTTTATTAAAAAAATAAAAAAAATTTTTAAACAAATTAATTTTTTTTAACTTTGGGTATGATAAATTTTTAATTTTCTTTTTCTAAAACATACCTGGAAATGATAAGAAGGTTTTGCAAAAAGTTTCAGAGTGGGCCTGACAAGTTTGATGGGTCCAAAAAAAAAATTAAGCTGTCCGTGCAGGTCGCACGCACGTGGCACAATGGGATTTTTTTACAATTTATTATTAAAAATTGTCTAGAGCCTACAAATTTTATCGGATTTTGATTATTATTGAATTTTTAGGCTCTAAACAATTTTTAATAATAAATTGTAAAAAAGTCCCATTGTGCCACGTGCGTGCGACCTGCACAGAGAGCTTAATTATTTTTTTGGACCCATCAAATTTGTCAGGCCCACTCTGAAACTTTTTGCAAAACCTTGTTATCATTTCCAGGTATGTTTTAGAAAAAGAAAATTAAAAATTTATCATACCCAAAGTTAAAAAAAATTAATTTGTTTATAAAATTTTTTTATTTTTTTAACCACTTCACTGGCGGGGCGTTCCAAATGGCGTTCCACGCGCCGAGGCCCAGACTGGCAAAAACACCGAAATGGCGTTCCTAATAAAACTTTATTTTTAAAGAGTGTACACTACTTTTAACTTATACAAAGCAATATTTCTATAGTTTAGACATCAGGGAACAAGATTATCACAATGAAAATTTCAGTTTTTGGGATTTTCAATGTTTTTTCATACGTTGAAATAGTCCATTTTTACCACTTTTCACCAAATGGCGTTCCACTTTTTTTTAATTTTTACACAGTAAAACTAATATTTTTTATTTAAAAAATATATTTACATACAAAACATTATAATATAATAATGTAATAAGTAAAAAATAAATATAAATAATTAATAAATAAAATTTAATAATTATTAATAATAACAAAAGTGGAACGCCATTTGTTAAAAAGTGTTAAAAATCGACTATTTCAACGTTCGAAGAAACATTGAAAATCTCAAAAACTGAAATTTTCATTGTGATAATCTTGTTCCCTGATGTCTAAACTATAGAAATATTGCTTTGTAGTAGTAAAAAGTAGTGTACACTCTTTAAAAATAAAGTTTTATTAGGAACGCCATTTCGGTGTTTTTGCCAGTCTGGGCCTCGGCGCGTGGAACGCCATTTGGAACGCCCCGCCAGTGAAGTGGTTAAAAAATGAAAAAAATTTTTTTTTGTTATGATTATTCAAAAGTAGAGAGAAAAACAAAACTTTTTTTCTCTTGTCAAAAAATGAAAAGAAGCAATATTTTTTGAGTTATCTGACATTAAAAATATATCTTCATTTAAAAAACGAAAATTTTGAAAATTCATAACTCAAAAATTTGGCCTCCAAAAAAATAATAAAAAAATACGTATCTGTTTTTTTTCAATACAGAATAGAAAAAAAATATTTTTGGCCGATTTTAAGAGGTCAACTGAAATCTCACGTGGAATTGCCCATATACAGAAAAGTCCACTTTTCGATTCGTTTTGGTTTATATTCTTTTCGAATTTCTTTGGCAACTTCATATTTCAATTCTTTAATGGATCGAATAATAAATGACAGGAAGAGAAAAGTGAAATGTCTATACTTCTTTTTATATGAAATGCCGATGCAAATTGTGAGTCATGATGAAACATGTGTTATTTTTTTTCTTATTGAAAAAAGATTTTTTTTTATTTTCTTATTGAAAAAGAGATGTTTTTTTCATTGAAAAAAAACATTTTTTTATTCTACTTTTTTAACGTGATGAAAAGAAGAATAAAATTGACAATTGAACTAGTGTAAATATATATGGAAAAAAAGAAATAAGAGAAAAAGAATGATTGCCCATAAGGTACACATACCGACAAGATAGGTGACTCACCCTACGTTTTCGCCGACAGATTTTCAGTCTATCCTCGAATCCCGTTCACTGAACATCGCCCGCGATTTTCATACATGTGTAAACGAACGAAAATTCAAACCAATTCAAAACACTATCATTTCACTCACATAAGAGATTCGAAATACTTCAGAAATGCATTTTCACCGTTCGAGTTTTAAGAAATTGGCAAATAAACAATACTTTGTGAGGGAAAGATTTTTTAAAATTTTCAAAAGATTAGTACAAACAACACAGTTTGATGATAAAAAACGAATGAGTGCAGTGACAATTGATTATAATGGAGATTGAGTGTGCAAGTTTGTGTTTGAAATTTAGTAAAATTTTTTTTTATTTTGCATTCCATCTTTGTGTATGTGTAGAAAAAGCAAAAGAGAATTATTAATATTGAAAAGTGAGAATTTTAAGGAAAGTTTTTCATTACCTCAGTGCCGATCAATTTTAGATCAAATGAGAAAAAACGGATTTCAAATAATCGGGTCTACCGATGAAATGGACAAAACTTAAATGAATAGAATTATCAGTGCTTTATATTTTTAGAGCACTGAAGAAAAATATTGTGATTGTTGTGTTGTTGTTTTTATTTTATCGATGTTTCTTTGAAAATGTTTTCCACCATGGCGTCCATGGCATTCGAACAAAACAGTTCGTTTTATACCACCGCCATGGGGAGCAGTACTCTTGATGGATTTTCAGGTAAGGGATTTTTCTTTATAATATTTCTATATTTGATAAATAAATTTTTTAATAATTTTAGATTTTTTTTATTACTTTTGTTTACCCACTTTTTATTATTTTTTGTTTCTTACATATTTCACTGCAAAAGTGCTCTGTTTACTTTGTTGTAAAATATTTGTATTTTTATGGTATAACAGAATTTTTCGATATTAGTTTAAATTTTAACTGATTTGAACTTCTTGCTTTTAAAAGAGTTAAAATTTATTAATTGGTCAGTAGAAAAATTTATTCGAATTTGAAGAGTATATTTTTTTAGTATTGTTGTATTTTTATTCTTTAGCGTCAGATTCGTTACAAGATTTTTAAAAAACTACAATTTTTAATTTATCTAAACTTTCGAACGTTGAAATGAATGATATTTATTTTATTTTTTTAAAATTATATTGTTTTAAAATTATTTTCTATATTAAAAAAATGAATTCTGAACTACTATAATTAAATTTTTTTATTTTAATAATTTTTTTGGATAGTAATTTAAAAAATATTTAAGAAGAAAAAAATGGCATTCATTTGAGCTTTCAAAACTTTAGGAGAATAATAATTTTTAATATACAGTCGGGTCCCCATACTGTTACATTTCCAGAAATTTCCCACTCCTCCAGACTCAGCTCTGTTATGTGCTCAAATTATGCTTACTGCGCACCTTTCAGGAACGTAAATATATACACCTCAAGTTTGGCCTAGAAGTATATGCACCCTTTTCTTTTGTCTTAAGAATACGGCCCTGAAAATTAGTAACGTAACGTGACGTCACCTAACACTTCTGAATTTGGAGGTTATGCAAAAACATAACACTACTGAGGACATAACAGTTTGGAATCTAACAGTATGGGGACCCGACTGTATTGTAATATATAATCAACAAGTTCGGAACTTTCGAATTATTGAATTTTTTTCGATATAAATATTTTCCAAACTTAGGTACTGTTTACATTAAAAATAAAAGATAAAATTTTAAAAAATTTACAATTAATTTTGTATAGATACGTGACGCAATATTATAATATATTTTAATTACAAAATGAAAAATAGGTGGATGAATTTTTTCAAACCATTTTCAAAAAGTAGTAAACAAGCGGAAAGTATAACAAATATAAATTGAAAATTCAGTTCTAAATTTATTAATCCATTAGAATTTAATATTTATACATTATGTTAATTATTAATATTAATCAAATCTATTAATTATAGGGGAGAGTGGGGCAAACCGGACCGGTGGGTAAACTGGACCCCCCTCAATATTTCCGAAATGGCGAAATTGTCAAAAGTTTTGTTTACAAATTTAAAACAACCATGTTTAGTATACCCTATTTTTTCAATCTGACAATTTTAGCTTGCGTTTGTGCGACGAAGGGAGCAAATGTTTTTTTTTAGTTTTTTTCTACACTTTTACGAATTTTTTCTTAAGGAAATTCTGAGGAAATCGTGTAATGTTTCCAAATATTAGGTCTTGGGTTTTGAAGGTACACACCTCAGGAATATTTACCACCAAAAACTTTGATGAATTTGCAAAGCGTTTCTTTTTGACAAACATTTATTCTCAAAATGGGTCTGTGGGGCAAACCGGACCGTTTTCGGTGGGGCAAACCGGCCATAGGATATTTCCATTGAATTAAAGTTTCATAAAAATTATTTTTAAATAAAATGTTTCTTTCATTAAACTATTTACTTACAATAAAACATAATTGTCTTCCAATGAGAATTGGACCCTTTAATATTGTTTCTCTGATAATGACAAACATTTTTATTTTTTTATTAAAAAAAATATTTATTTAATTAAAATTCAATCCCGTATTATTATTTTTATTACTACAACCATTGTTTACATGATTCTTTATGTTTTTTATTATTGTAGATTATGTAAATGCAATATTATAAATAAAAAACCAAACGGTCCGGTTTACCCCAGGGGGTGGGGCAAACCGGACCGTTTGCAAAAATTTTTAAAGTTAACACAGCAACTAAACATTAAAAGATAAAGTATAGGTGTCTCTGGGAAAAAGTTGCGCAATTAAATGATCTTTCAAACAAGCCTTCGAAAAATGAAATCGGTTGATTCGTTTAGTCACAAGAGTCAAAAAACCGTTAGGGGGTCCGGTTTGCCCCACTCTCCCCTATATTGATATAGTATTGTTGTTTGTATAATAATTTGTAAAAAATCTTTTATTGCAATTTGTTGTAAACAGTTTGCCTTATTTTCAATTTATTGGAAATAATTTCTAAAATCATTATTAGATTTAGTACACAGTATAATATAATATTTCTGTAACATGTTATTCAAGTAACGAAGATGTAATTATAGGAGCCAAAAAGTGGGTAATTGCCAAAAAGAAGATAACCATGAAGGGAAACATTACGCAATCGCGATGATAAATTGTTATAATTTTCTATTTACAAGTTTACTTTGAAAATGTGTAAACATTGCAAACTGTTTACTCAAATAATTTTTTCTTAATTGCTTTAAAAATTCTTTTAGAGTATTTTTATTTTTTTATCTCTTGAACTTGAAATCATTTAATTTTATTTTAATAAAATCTAATGATAGAAAATCAGATAAATTTTAAATTAATCGTAATATTAATTACACAGTTTTCTTGAGAGTAACAACTGGATTCCAAAATGAATCAACTTGATACCAAAAATTTGGAACAAATTATGATTTGATTCTCATTTTTGGCATAAATTCGTTCCAATTTATTGATATACTGTCTAGTTAACACTTAACAGTGATAAGAATTGCAATAATTAATCGTAATAAATAATTATAAAAATAATAATAATCATAATATATTTATTATTTAATTAATCAACAGAAATTAATCTTGAAATTTATATATTGTCTGTTATTTGAAATTTTGTAGGGTAATGTCACCTTGAGTGGACCCCCTAAGCTTTTTTTCTAAAAAATTCTTTATGACAGCAAATTAATCGAAGGTTTCTATTCCAAGCTTTAGTTTAGATCCCTAGATAAGTGTTTACACAATAATAGCTTTGATTTTTTTTTATTTGGGAAAAACAATTGACTTTAAAAAAATAGCTTATTTTTAAGGAATGAAAAAAGTGTAACCTTGAGTGGACCACTCTTAAAAAATTGTAAAAGTTATTCTAAATTCTTTAATGTATTTAATATTTCTGATATATTGAAACAAAATTTATGCTTATGCAGCTTCAGACCATGTTTGTGTCGCAATGTTTACAAGTGAAACCATTTTCAATAATTTTTGAAACATATCACATCAAAATCACAAAAAAATGAATAAAGAACATAAAACAGTTTCAAACAAATTTATTGTCAATTTATTTCCATAAAAATGGTAAACTGACATTAAAAATATAAAAAACAGGCAGTCCACTCATGGTTATAAACAGTGGTCCACTCATGGTGACATGCAACTTTTTATGGCAGACACAAAAATTTTTTTTTGAGTCAAAATTATCACTTAATTAAACTAAGACAATCAATTTCAATGCCCAAAGTAATAGGAAAAAAATAAGTTACCTTTTTAAACTTAAATTTTACACTACTTTTACACTTCCGAATCACTTTACTCATTATAAGAGCGACTTCTTTTTTGGTTTGTGTTCTTAAAAATGCGTTATATCAAACGATAACGTATATGATTATCGCGGAACATAAATTCTTACGGTTTCTAGGTGCGGTGCTGCTATTCGTTTTATTTATTTCACGTTTCCGCTGTCAGATAACTTAAAAACTCAGGTGGTCCACTCAAAGTGGCGGTCCACTCAATGTGACATTACCCTATTGTTAATTATTTACATAAGGACTGCAACAAGTAAAAGAAGAATATTTTTCATTATTAAAAAATAATTAATCTTTATATGACTGGAACAATATTTTACAACAGAGGAAGAGAAATTCAATTCAATAATTAATTTAGTCATTAATGCTAGAACTACATTTTGTTTGTATAGAGAAAAGAAAAATATTTTGGTTTGTTTGCTTTCAGTTTCACTACCGGAACCCGAAAATGCGACTTCCCTTCCTTATATGTTACCAGCATATATCAGGACAACATCTATGGTGGTGTGCATTATGGTTATGGTGTTAGGGATTATAGGTAATCTCATGGTAGGTTTTTTGTCATTTTTCAAAAAAAAATTTGATTCATTTAAAAACATGAATCATGTATTCAATAATTACATCAGAAACGTTTTATTTCCTTATAACCGTATTGTATTGAATTACTTAATAACTTATTTGCTTTAGTTTCACAGTTTTAAGATTCTAAATTTGAGAACATTGTATAGCATCAAAACGTTGCAACGCAACAATTTTTATGGATTTTTTATCTCAATTTGATATCCTTAGAACAATTGTGTTTAATATTTAGTTATATGTAACTTTTTTACACATCTGTGTCGAATTTGTTAGATTTTCTCTCTAAATCTGAATTAATAAAAAGTCATCTATTAATCCAAATTAATGAATTTTGTCTTTAAAATATTTATAAATTTTACTAATTTGTTTATAAATTAAATTAATTGCTTGATTATTAATTTTATTAATTATAACAAGTTTACAAACTTGGGTAAAGACATTCAAATTCATTTACAAGAGCGCATTTTAAGGTATTTTTTACTCTAAATTCTAATCGGTTGCTATATTACCTGGTACATTCAATTTTGTAATGGCAAATCTTAAATGATGGAAAAAAAGAATTTTTGATAGAAACTTGTTACTCGGAGGTTTTTGAGGTCACTGATTACAAATCTGAAGTTCATTTTAAAGAATTCAAAGTGGCGAATCAAATGTGGCGGACAAAGAAGTTAAAAATCACTTGAATTTTCTTGAAACTTATTATTCGGTGGTTTTTGGGGTCATTCAGGGCTCGAACTAGGTCCGTAAATCCCGTAAAGGTCCGTAAATTTGCTCTAAGTCCGTAAAAGTCAGTTTTTTTGAAAAAAGGTCCGTAAAGTCCGTAATTTTATTGAAAAAACAAGAAAAGTTCGTAAATTATAGGTACGATATAATTTGGAGAATTTTAAAGAAATTACAAATGATTGCAGAAATTCAATTATTTTCAAAAATAATAAAATTCTTCAGATGAATTCAACTATGTTCAAAAAATAAAAAAATTGTCGTCAAAATTTCAATTAGGTTGGAAATAATAAAATTCTTCTCCGAAATTCAATTATTTTCAGAAACATTAATAAAATTCTTGGCAAAATTTCAATTATTTACAAATTTTTTAAAAATTTCTTTGCAATCATTTAATTATTTTCATAAATAATAAAATTTTCACAGAGATTCAATTATTTTCGTACATAAAATTTTTTTTAGGAATTCAATTTTTTTCATAAATAATAAAACTCATTGCAGAATTTCAATTATTTTTATTTAATTTTAATCGAATTCCACGAAAAATATAATTATTTTTAAAAATGTTATTAATAATCGTCGAAAGAATTCAATTATTTTAAAATTTGTTTATAAAATTCTTTATGAGAATTGAATTTTAAGAAAAATTCAATTATTCAATAAATTATTTATTTTTGTATTTATAAATAATTGAATTCTTGTAGAATTTTCTAATAAAAATTGATTTACAAATGAATTTCCGTTTAAATTTTAGATAATAATTGAATATTAAAAGAAATATAGCATGAATTTTTAGAAATAATTGAATTTTGAAATTAATTTTTTTGAGCCACTGATTCTCAGTCAAATTTCATTGATTCAGTTTTATAGAATAGGAAAATTTCCAGAGAAATGCGCAGAAATTCCAGTCAAAATTACAATTACAATTTTTTTCTGAGTATAAAATTGTGTCTTAAAATCAAAAGAAAAAAATTGAGAACAAGATCCTTTTTATTTTTCTAAAATAAGATTTTTTACCATATAAGCTTTTTATTATAGCTATAAACTTTTAAAGTATCAATCGGTGATTAAATACAAATATATTAATTTTAAAAAAAACAATTTCAGGTGCCGTTGGTTGTACTACGAGGGAAAGACATGAGAAACAGCACGAACATCTTTCTGGTGAATTTAAGCGTGGCTGATTTGTGCGTATTATTAATTTGCACGCCCACTGTCCTCGTGGAAGTCAATTCAGGACCACACGTTTGGCCACTCGGAGAACACATGTGTGAGTGCATTATTTTTTATATGTTCGGCAATTTATAAAAAATAAATTACTTTTTCCTAAATTCGTTACTTTTGCGTATATTCATATACCTATTCGAATTATTTACATCCAGTGATAAATTTTATTTTAAGCAATTATAATTTATTTGACTTACATATTAATCATATTTGTCTCATTGTTAGATTCCACTAAACTGTTTATTTGGTTTAAATAAACATTTTTTCCAACACAAATAACAATTTTAATTGAACCAAATAAAATTTATTTGAAGCAATAAAAAGTTTAAAAGATTAAAAAATTAAGAAAGTTTAGTAGGCTCTGAGTCAAATATATCTTTTTTCGGTTTGTAGAATTTAAGAAATTCCACTGTTTGGATTAAAATTATTATATACACTTTTCATTTTTTCACGTAATGAAAATAAAAATGATATAGAAATTCGATGCATTCGAGCAAAAAATCGCTTATTGAAAAGTATGAAAATAGAAAACAAAAAGTTCTATAGTGAAAAATACTTGGGAAACAATAATGAATGAGTGGGTTCTGTCTTTTCTCTTTATTCATGAAAGGAGAGATTCTCGAATCAAACATATGATAGAATTGATTGAGGAATCATTTTTTTGTAAATTTTTTTCTAATTGCAATTTTTAATATGGAAAAATTTATTACAATATTGTCCTGTGAAGGATATGAAAGTTTATTATATATATGCTATTTCTTTGGACGTAATCCAAGAAGTAGTTTAATCACATGAACTGTGTTGGGATTGTATGGTTATAAGGAAGGAAGGAAGGAATATAGGGAGGGAATGGGGACTTCATGTAACTTTTATCTTGAAGTGTATGGCAAATACCTACTCTACTCTATATCCTGTTCCTTATATATATATATATATTCCAAGAACGGCAGCGCGGCGAAAGCACATTTTCGTTGAATGGCCAAAAAGCACTCACGCTCTTTTTTTACTGACATAAACCTTCCACAATTTCTCGATCACAAGATATGAAAATCTCTATACATGTCACTTGCATGTTTTGTAACATTTGTTACAACGGCAATGTTGAAAACATATAAATACTTATCGCAACCATTTCTTTCACTTCATTTCGAAATTTCTACTGAAATACTTTTTTCAATTTTTTAGATTAAATAATAATAATAATTATTATTTTTCAATTTTAAAAATGTATTATCATATGAATCATTATTAATATTATTATTATTTTTTTATTACCTATTATTATTAATTATTATAATTACTACTAAAATTGTAGGTATGTACCTACCTAATTTTTAATAATGATTATGACATAACTAAAAACTAATTAGAATTAAATTTTCAACTTCTATTATTCTAAACTGTAAAAAATCGAAAAAAATCTTTAGCAAATCTTAGAAGTTACTAATTACAAATCTGACATCAGGTTTTCTAATTTTAAAATGGAGAATCCAATATGGCAATCAATTTTTTTTAACCCCTTGACAGTCCATAGCACATTATTATATAGCTGGGAATTTTTTGGTTTCTAAGGTCGCTAATTCTAAATCTGATGTCAGATTTTTAAAATCCAAAATGGCAGATCCAATATGGCGACCAAAAAATTTTTTTAGAAATTAACTAGGTTTGCTTGAAACTTATTAATCGGGAGGTTTTACAATTGTGTTAAATTGAAATTTGATGTCAGTTTCAAAAATTCACAATGGCGAGCCAATGTGGCTGGAAATTTTAAATTTATTCGTTTCAATCAAAAGGTGTTACCCGGGGGTTTTTGAGGTCGCTGAATCAGGGTTTAATGTTAGATTTAAAAAATTTAAACTAAAATTTAACTTAATCCACCATTATGAATTTTTAAAGTCTGACATTAAATAAATTCTGATTCAGTTTCGCTGAAAACCTTCGAGTAAATACTTTTAGACAAATGTATTAGTTTTGAAAGTTTTTTGGTCAGCAAAAAGTTTACTAACAATTAGTTATTTTGAAACTAATTCAGAATATAATAATAATAATTATTATTATTATTATATAATAATTAATATAATATGTATAATAATACAATATGTATATAAATATAATATATAGTAATTATAATTTAATAATAATAATAATTATTATTTTTATTATTATATTTAATTAGTTATAGTGACATTTTGTCTGCGGAGAAAAATTAGGTGACATAATTTCCCGGAAGGAAACGTTTCATTCTATATAAAATAATACTGGAAATTTCAATTAAATTTTAATCAGAAACTGAGCTCTTAATGGTTATGGCATATGAGCTATTCACCTATGAGGGAAGACAGTGTTATCTATATTTTACGTTCATTTTTCGTTTTAATTGAAACCTTATTTTAACGGTTTCTTTAAACTGCCTTTTAACCCAATTAAATAATATTATATTTCTTCTTTATTCGATAAATATTATTATTAAATTATTAACTTATTTTACGAATATTGAATTTAAAATAATAGACGGACACGAACTTAGCACAATATTTGACTACAATATGTGATTACTTTTTTCCGTTAATTTTAAATTTCTCGATCACCATTTTTAATTTTTTAATTTTGACCGAAGATTTGAATTTAGCTACATACTACGCAGCTAAAAACATACAATATGAGAATATTATCATTCTTACACTGCAAAAACTGGTATCTCACTCGTGTCTTAAAATGAGTTGCTTTAAGTGTTTAAACCATTGAGATACAAAATCTGTTTTATATTGAGACATTTAATTACATCTCGTGTCTCATTTTAAGACATTAAAGGTAACTCAATGCGTATAAGACACGTAAAACGTCTTCTTAGTGTGAGACGGATACTCGAAACACATTTCGTGTCTCAAAATGCATTGCTAAATGTGTAAGACACTTTGAAACGTCTTAAAATGAGACACATATCTGTTTCAAATATGTGGACTAAGACATCTTATGTGTTTCAAATATGGGACAAAACGTCTCAAAATGAGACACTTGTTTTTGCAGTGTAAGAAAACAAAAAATTTAGCACATTTGTGGCACGATAACTTTATTTTGACAACACTGTTAATAAAAGGGGTTAATTTTCCAGAGACATCAAAAAATTCTTGAGTTTGCCTGATTTTATTAAAATTAACATAATTTCTGAAATAATTTATATGTTTTAAAGTTCTTTGAATGAAGCTGAAACTGGCACCCTGTTTTCAGCTCCCATTAATTTTTTTTCAAAATTGTATGTTCTTTTTAAACAAAAAACAAATATATTTATAGCTTTAAAATTGAATTTTCAAAATTAATTGGGTGCTATAATAACTGGGTACCACTTTCAGCTTCATATTCTTTGACTTACTTTAAACGTAATTTTTACGTACCTATTATTTAAATATTTAATAGTAATGTGAAAATTCCCTCAAAAAATATGCTAGTTTTTTCAAATAATTAAACAATGAAATTAAATTTTAACAATTACAGGATTTCCACAGGTCAGGGAAATCAGAGAAAAGTCAGGGAAAGTAGAATTGGTCAGGGATTTTTATTAAAGTACTGGAAAAAATTAAATTTGCAGGATTCATAATTAGTTTTATTTAATTTTTTAATATATATTTAATTAATTATTAAAAATCATGGATTTATAGAAGAATTTTAGTTAATAATTCCCACGTGAAACGATTCTACGGAAATTCCGTAAAGAATTTCCGTATGGAATTTCTGCAAATATTCCAAATTGTATATTTTTGTAGAGTTTTCGATAACTTTTAAAAAACTGTTACTAACTCCAATTGAATTTAAACAAATTACAAATTGTAAAAATTGTACAAATTTTTTTTAAATTTCTTCGCAATTCAATTATTTTCATAATTTTCGTTTTCGTATTTAAAATAAATAATAAAATAAATAAATAATTGAATTCTCGTAGAATTTTCTGATAAAAATTGTTTTAAAAATGAATTTCAGTTAAAATTTTAAATAATAATTAAATATTAAAAGCAAATAGCGTGAATTTTTAAAAATAATTATATTTTAAAAAAATTTAATTGAATTTGTTTTTGAAATTATTTCAAGTTTTTATTTTCTAAATATTTAATTAAAGAATTTCCGAATAATCTAAATTTCTTAAAATTGAATTGTAAACAAATGGATTTGAAAATTCTGTAGGAACTTTTGAAAGAATTATTAAAAATAATTGATATTTGTTCATCTATTTTTTTCAAAGAATTTTAATAAAATTTTTGAAATTAATTACATTATTCGAAGAATTTACTTAAAATTATATTAAAAATAATTGAAATCCTGTGAAGAATTTTATTATTTATGAAAATAATTGAATTCTTGCAACGAATTTAATTAGATTTTTTTTTAATTTTTGAATTCTTTTGAGAAATTTTATTAAAATAGTAGTTTTTGAGAAAATATTTAAATTTCAGCGAAGAATTTCATTATTTGTGAAATTTAACTGAATCTTTGCAAAAAAAATATTTGAAAATAATTACATTTTTCGAGAAATTTAAAATTTTTTTAAATAATTAAATTGACGTGAAAAATTGTTTTATACTTTTTTTTAAATTATATAGAGATTTAAATTCTAATAAAACATGAAGATAGCGATCACTCCGAGTCGAAGACTCGGCGTGCTCGGTATCTTCATGTTTTATAATGATATTTTTAAAAGTTATTGTATTTCAAAAAATTTAACTATTGATGTTTTGGAATAATTTTACAATTAGAGAAATTCGTAAATAAATGTACTTAAAGAACAGTTTTTTGAGTTTCTAATCATTTTGAGAGTGAATCAGAATATTCTTTAGACTCAGGGAAAAAGTCAAAAGTTTGTCTGAAAATGAGGGAAAAGTTAGGGAAAAAGAAAATTAATTTTTTGTGGCAACCCTGAATTAAAACTAACAAAGCTATTAATAAACTATTTATATGAAAAGCTACATTTTAGCAACTGAATTTTTATTCTTGTAGATACTGTTTTAAAAAAATTCGAAGTAGTTTTCTTGTTGATTATTATCGGAACATTAT